TGAAATTGGTAAGGGAGAAGAGAAAAGTGGCCCAAAAGTGTAGACCGGGGGGAAAAAAAGAAATTTATAAATTTAATTGAAAGGGGCGTTAAAAAGGGCAAAAAACGAAAATTGAAGTTTTGAGGGGCCGAGAATTAGGTTTTTAAAAAAAAATTTCTAAGCCCCTAAGGGTTTTTTTTTTAAAAAAAAAAAAAAAAAAAAAACCAATCAAAAGGATGACAGCGATGTTGAGGTTTGCAAAGTATACAAATACGCTTAAAGTCGGATTCACTGTAAACAAGAGAAAAAAATTGCAACGTGTTCTAACATTTTTGTAACATCTTGCGTTGGTACACTAAATTCTGGATACGTTAAAGACTAATGAACAAGCACAAACTTAAATTGCTGAGCCCTTCTTACCTTTTTTAATCAATAGCCTCTTAACAGACTGCACCGCAACGATTTTTTGTAGTGTTTCCTCGCTTTCTGGACCACGAAAAACAATATCTTTTCTTTTAACTCAACCTCACTACGAATTTGACCAATGAGGGTGCTTCAGCATTATGGACACTAGTGTCCATGGTGTGCTAAAGGAACTTTTTTTTTTGTTTTCCTTTTTAGGAAATTTAATGACAAATAGAGGCACTTCAGCACTAGGGATGTTAATCTTGATCGTTAGGACTTTTCTGAAATTAAACTCGTCAACAAATAAGAAAGCTAATTGAACTTTTAAAAACTGTAACTAAGGGATACTATTAGAATATACGCGATCTTTAGAGCTCAACCAATCAGGAAGTCAAAAGAAGGCTTTATTGTTATTAATTAGTGAAAAATTCAGAGCGATAAGAAACAAATCTTGGGGAGACTTGAGTTTATATATTTCCCTTTTTGCCACTGAATTTTCTTTTACTGCACTGTGTTTCCTCCATTTCTCTTCGATTATGAGAACTATCTCGCATTTTTTGTAGGAAATTTATTAGATAAGCTTCGAAAGTTGTACATGAATTGAACTGTCATCTGGAAATTTTTAGCAGCCCTCAGCGTGGAAAATTCTAGGCAATATTTGCTTCGGAACAACACGTCGTCGTCGTCGGTGTTAATCACGTCGTCCCAGGCATCAGACTACTCTGAGACTTCGAGCAGTCTCTCTTTTGTCTTCACCGTCGAGACACGCGAATTGCATGTTTTCTTGTTGACTTTTGACCGCCACGAACTTCCTTTTCTCTCGGCAGTCACACCTTTTGGTATATTTCCTTTTTCCTGGGATGACGTGACTAACACGAGGACGACTTTTCACTGGATGCAGTCTTTAAAAATTACACGTTGGTTACAGACAAGGGCGTAAACATAATTTCGACAAAGGTTTTGATAATTCCTTATAAGAGCTTCATTAAAACCTTCTTCTGAAGTTTCATACTCTTTTGTTGTCTTGTCTAACAAACCCCGCTTCTTGGCATCTTCCCCCCACCAAACCCCACCCAAATTCTAGTATTTTTGTCTCTTCTCTTCTTTGATTTGTGACCGTCTCTTAAGTTGTGATCGCGGTCTTCGGCGCATATAGGAAACCTTTTGTGTTCCTTCCTTGCGTTGCTTGGCCTTTTTTTTCCAACACAGGCTTTTAAGTCTTCTCCTAATCTCGTACCCAGATCTCACTCTGTTTTACACTGAAAAGTGAGATCTGGTAAAGGTGGATACAAGGCCATTTTTCATTGGCTCCTGCTAAAAGTTGTGCCGTGATAAAACAAACGCTATGATTGGCTCTTTTAACGGTTCCAAGGTTTCGCGGTTTTTTGGCTGGCCGCTCCAGCTGTCGTGAGACATGGAAGGATCCCAAACTTTGACGGACGATATTTTAAAAAGTTAGTGCCGGTTGTGTGGTGAGACGACCACGAGAAAAATTTTTTCAGCGATAGTGGAAAGGCGTTACAGTTAAAAAGGATTATTCTTAGAGTATGTGAAATTGAAGTCTCAGAGATGGACGAACTTCCTAAGTTTTGTTGCAGAAGTTGCCATGATAAAGTTCTACGTCTAAACAAGAACTTAGAAATATTTACCTCGACCTGCCAGAGTACACAGAAGGAACTTGAACTAGAACTGATAACAAGTAGACAAGAAAACATCAAGAAACGGTCTCGGACGGGAAATACTTCCCAAAGCACCGAAAAGCCAAGAAAAATACCGCACTCAATGGTGACTTCAGCACGAAAACGTTTTCCTTTCGGTAACCAGCAAACGAGTGATCAGGAGGTGAGCATATTAAAGCAATACAAGATGTTCTGCTTCTGCCATACATGTACTGGTAAGTCAACCTCGGCCTGAGAGTATTTACTACCGGTTTTAACTTATACTAGTGGTGCCTAACTTTAACACGGTCTCAATTCCTTACAAATTGAATGTCTTATGATTTCAGAGTATGAATGTGGCCTCAGATTCGCATGTGAAAATTTCCAGAATTCCAACGCCGGTTAAAAGGCCTGTGTGTCATAAAGAACCGGGTAATAACCCGAAGGTAAGAATCGTATTGGAATATCACGTTTAATGTAGATAAGCTACATAGGCATAAGATGGGCTGCTCAGGATTTCTAGCTACTCATCAACTAAATTGCGTTTATGTACTTTGCAGTCTGTTCCATCCAACCA